GTGCAACACGCCAGCTACTACTCCCCAAAATGTGATTTCTGCAAAGATGACATATAAGAGAGTTCCAACTTTTTCTGAGTTCCAAACATTTACAAACACATGTTTCTTGATCCAGTGTACCTAATTTACATTTTCATGAGCAAAATAAAAACATATTAGGAATTTACATACAATTGAAAATTATGTTAATTAAGATTATAGCATATACTAAAAATATAAATAAATAAAAAATTCTGTTTTGTTTCTTACTAGTGACTTGTTTGGATCTTCATAATACCAGCCATTAACAAATGCTGCAAAAATTCCCTGAGCTGCCATCACAAACACTAACATCGCGTTCATCCCTATCCATTCCAAGAACAAGAATGGAGTACGGATTCCACAAACATCAATCTGTTTGATTATCACAAAATGAAAGAAAAACAAGAAACAACTGTTAATTTAATAACCAACAATGAGAACTTTTTCTACTTGAATGAAGGGATATATATTTCATTTTCCTACCAATATGTAGAGGGCAGAGAAGACAATTCCAGCTGCACCAGCAGTGAAACAAACATAGCTCAAACTATAGAGTTGCTTGTTAATTGGAATAGCTGCAGAGTCCAATGAAAATTTTGTTAAGATGTTATCTTGAACTCAAATGGTATGCTTTGACGGATTTGAGTTGTCTACTGTCACAGTCTCTTACAGTCATATTAGTGGTTGTTAGCACATGATCGGAGGGTCTAGATTTCAATCTCCTTATTTTAGATATAGAAAATAACTAAATTTGTATTGAAATCTAAATCGTCTGATCTTGATTTAACCACCACTGTTGTCACTGATTGCGTGTCTATGTGCGATTGTGACTGCACATAATGTAAATCCGGTTTTGAAAAGTACTTGTCAGTTGTCACACAAACTTACCATCGGTAAAATGAAGGACAATGGCTATTATAAGTAACACAAACCCCATTGAGAGCCATTGTTTGAGCCTTTCTGAATGACCCTGTCAAATTAACATCTATTAGGCCTTTCACTAAATTGAGCTATAGAATATATATTTTGTGTGTTGTGTATAATTAACATACGGTAAGATTTCCTTACCTTGAAATGAATCAAGACATGTCCATAATGGATTCCGATGGTGCCAGAGAGGATTGCTGATATAGAACTAGCACAAAAATATTTCGAGACATGTCTCATTCGCGGCGTTGGTTATTATATTAAATGGACTATAAGATTTAAAGACATATACCTTAGTAAGCCCTCTGGTTCATATGGAGCAAGACACCAACTTGGAGCATCATCGCGAAATTTTCCTTCACCAGGATAACTGAATGTGCATGCCTACAATAAAATCGCACAATAAATTATCCGTACAGGTAATTCATCAATTTATTTGGAATAATACCAAATTATACACAAAGACCTACCCTTAAGCGTCTCCAAACAGGTTGAGAATAAAGATGATTAACCCCCCAAACTCGTCTATCAACATATCCAACTGCGTTACATGCAGGTCCTAGGTCTCCTCTAACTCCACATAACACCTAATAAACGGAAAGAACAAAAACATAAATAAAAACAATAGGTGAACACGAGTACCCTAGACGTAATAAAGAGAGAATCTACCGTGTATCTCTTTGGTACGTTGCCATTGACGTGATCTACAAAACTCCAATCAGGAACATACAATGCGAAGGTTGTGATAATGTAAATGAGAAAAGCTATGAAGCCTCCAAACCTAAGTCACACATGATTATTATGTACCATTAATCAAAGAAACTTCACAGTTTCCATTAACCCATTTCAATTAGCATATTTGAAATTTGAAATTGAGTGTTGTGGTTGTGTTAACTCACCATTGCCATTTATAAGCAGAGAAAATGGCTACACGTCCCGGACTTAAGGTAGTTGGTCTAAGCTTGGTTGTCAATGTTTCTATTAGAGCCACAACACAATATACAAGGGCTATTCTCTGCATACAAAATTTCATAAACTTGGTTAGTGCGACTATTTTGCATTAGGCTCTGCATAATACTTCATTTTATTAAATTTAATTCGCACCTGGAGAATGCCACACCATCGAATAAACTTCATATCGACTCCATACTTGAGTTCATCAGGGGCATGAGAGTATCCGCCTGCCATAAGTTATCTATATCAAATTTACCATTGCACAGAGACTTATTCATTTAATTATGCAACTTAGTGGATTCAATATTGTCGATAATTATTTATTAAATTTTGAAACTTATATAATTCTTGGCGTTTAAAAATGAATATAGTGAGTTTGAAGAGTTTTGTTTTGGTTACCTTGCAAAATTATGCCCCAAAAGAGAAGCTTCAATGTCCTAAGTATTATCTTCTTCACAGCATACTTTATGTTGGGAATTCTCTGCATTATTATAATCAAAGTTTATTCATAAGAAGCACTGGCAAAGACACTGACACCGAACACAACACCGACATTTACACGACGACACTGATAATAATTTGAAATAAATTAAACTTAATCACAAGTGTCATTGTCGTGTCGGGATCCGACTAAGACTCAGACACGCATATTTTTTCAAGAGCTGTAAGTGCTATATAGAGGGACAAAGAATAGACAAGGGTTGAAAAGTTACCTTAAGTGCAAGAGCTATGGCAACACCGACAATGAAAAGAAAGAAAGGCATAACAAAATCAGCCAAAGTACATCCATTCCATGGAGAGTGATCAATGCGTGGATAAGCTTCACCAGCATCATCTACTAATATCATCAACTACACAAAGATGACAAAAACATATTAGTAATAGACAATCGCTTATAACTAAATTTAATGACTATATCCTTACTTCACAATAAACTGTCTTAACTTTCACTTTTACAAATTGATTAATCATAAGAACCTAAAACTTTACAGTAAGTAATTACCACAATGGTGAGGCCTCTAAATGCATCAAGTGTTGCAACCCTTTTTGTCTTTTGCTTAACCAAAGCAGGCTTAGCCATTGTGTCTGTATCATGCTGATCAATACTAGAATTTCCATTAATATTGGTTGTTTCTTGCTTCTTCAAGACTTCGTCTTTAGCTTCATCAATATCCAATGCTACATTGATGCCTTCTTCCATTCTCTTAGTACCTTCATCCATGGCTAAAAAGTAGTGAATGATATTAACAAATTGTTCGAACATATATATATCCTTCTTTTTTCTCTAAGTGTGTATTGAAGTGACAAATTAAGAGCTCTAAATGAAGGATGAGGCCGGCTTTGAAGTCAATAGGGGAGAGAATCAATATTCTAATAATAGCAACTAGATTACAAACATAAGAGACATATGCAGCATTTTGAGAGATAGAGAAGAAAAAGGTCCATATTTGTATTTGTTAGTATATTTTAGTATTATTATTCACAGCCTTTGTTTCTTGTTTTGTCTGCCTTTGACAAACTAAAGATTCCCCTTCTTATCTTATGTTTTGACCATATTTTCATAATGATAACTAGCCGTTAGATTCTTATATTTGGAATCTTGTCTTTAGGGTTGCTACGGAAGAGTTTCTGTATCATATGACAAAATCTTAAGGAAGAGTTTTATTTTGTTATTAGGAATATGTTGAATATCACATTAGAAAAATATTTTTACTCTTATGTTTTCAGCAGAGTACACCCGAGCACCGACACCTCTAAATAGAGGTGTCTGTATTCAAAACCGACACCGACACATGTAATTACGTTTTATTTATTTATTTTTCAAATTATTATCGATATCGACGTGTCGGTGTCGTGTTTCCGGAGTATTCGTGATTCATAGGCAGAGTAACCAATTCCAAATAGCGCCACGGGAAGCCCAAAAATGGAATAGCAGGATAGAGTCCGGCGGATGGCCACTATTTAATCATTTTCTGGACAAATTACATAAATAATAATTATAAACATATGAAGTGCAGAAGGAAGACCGAAGTCAGAGAGAGGTGAGAGAGTAACTTGTGGTTTTTCTTTGGAACGCTGAAGTGCAGAAAGTCGGTGAAGGAAGGTTAAGGTTGAGTCTAAACTCAAATTTGATTGAAAATGCTAAAATCACCCTTAAAACGTTCTAAATTTAAGGGATAATTTTGGTTTTTCAAAGGGAAAAAAGATAGCGGGCCAGAAACCGCTCCAAACTGAGAACCACTAAGTTTATGTTTGGTTCCACTTCCACAAGACCCAGAATCAATTCTAGAGATGTAGAATTGATTTTGGATGATTTTGAAGTGTTTGGTTTGTTAAAAGAAGAATTGATTCTGTCTCCAGAATTGATTCTACTTGAAGCTAGAATTTGTAGCTTCTACCTCCAACATTGATTCTGGATGATTTTTACACTGAAAATTATTGTTCAACTCACTTTTACATAAATGTATCCAAACATAAATCAATTCTAATAAATTCAATTCTATTAAAATCAATTCTACCAAACTCAATTCTACTAGAATCAATTCTGGCCACCGCCAATCCAAAACATACACTAAGACTCTTCCCATATAGACCGACCTCTGCTCAGGATAACGCTGCTACTCCCTACTCTATTTTCAGATAACTAAAAAAGGAGCAACGCAGTGAGTGAATAAACACAATCCTCCTCATTCAAGATTTACTTCATTCCTTTCTGTTTTGTTTCTCTACTTTTGCATTATTGTGTATACAGACACCAGGTTTTGGAATATCATAAATAACTAAACAAAAAAAAAGTAAAAATACTAGAAACAAAAAACTGTAACAAAAAACAAACCAAATGGCAAATTGGCTGGTTCCCGATTCATCCGGTTGAACCAGCTGATTCAATCTGAGTTTTTAAAACATTGATAAACACTCAATGACATATTTTAAATATTTTAAATTATTATTGGGCCAACTTGGGCCGGTATTGTAAAAAAAACAAATAATCAATATGGATCCAACATGGATAAAGAATTCTAGAAAAATGAGAGACCATTTTAATGGACCCAGTACAACAAATGACTCAATGCCAATATCTTTTCTCTCATATTCTCTTACAATTTCCAGTATATTTTTAACTTGTGCAACACACCAGCAACAACTCCCCAGAAAGTAATTTCTGCAAAGATAACATATAAGAGAGTTCCCACTCTCTCTGAGTTCCAAACATTCACAAACACATGTTTCTTGATCCAATGTACCTGATTTATGTTTTCATTTACAAAATGAAAACATATCAGAAAAATATATACTATATAATTATGATAATTATGACAGACTCTATATAATAGAAATGATATTGTTTGCTTCTTCTTACTAGTGAGTTATTTGGATCTTCATAATACCATCCATTTACAAATCCTGCAAAAATGCCTTGAGCTGCCATCACAAACACTAACATAGAATTCATTCCTATCCATTCCAAGAACAAGAACGGAGTGCGGAACCCCCAAACATCTATCTGTTTGATTATCAAAATGTATTAAAGAATAACCAAAAGCTGAAAAAGACAAGCAACATTTAAATGAAGTTTTATACTTGAATAGTGCTATAAAGTTGAAAATTCCCTACCAATATGTAGAGGACAGAGAAGACAATTCCAGCTACTCCGGCTGTGAAACAAACGTAGCTGATACTATAAAGTTGCTTGTTAATTGGGATAGCTGCGGGATATTTCATAATTTTGTTGTTAAGATTTACCTTGAGCTCAAATTGTATTAATTTTAAGATGGATTTCGACGAGTGATTGTCACACTATGTTACCATTTGAAAAGTGAAGGATAATGGCTATTGTGAGTAACACAAATCCCATCGAGACCCAATGTTTGAGCCTCTCTGAATGACCCTGTCGTAATAAGATTTAATCCGTTTTAGGCATTTCACGAGTTAATCACAAAACTAATAGTATAAAGTTTGTTGTGTAAAATATAACTTAGGGTGAGATTTTGTAACCTTGAAATGAATCAAGACATGCCCGTAATGGATGCCTATGGTGCCAGAGAGGATTGCTGATATGGAACTAGTTAAAAGAAACACTTTCTTAATATATATTTAATATATGAATAGATAGATCGATAGTAAATCGTTGATATAGAGGTTATTTTTTATAATAGAAAAGCTCTTGATATCACGAATCATCGGATGGTTTTATAGTTTGTGTCATTTTTTTATAGTTTTTTTTGCTCAATTATTACTAATTTAGTATTAGTAGTGTTTACTCAGCAGGTACACATTTATAATGTTCTTACAAGAAAAAAGATTATGAACTTCAAACATCTTAATACACACTCTAGTACCAGCAGGTAGAACCGTAGAAGAAAAGAAAATACAAAGGCAAACCTCAACAAGCCCTCAGGTTCAAAGGGAGCACGGCACCAACTTGGAGCATCTTCGCGAATTGGACCTTCACCTGGAGAACTGAATGTGCATTCCTTCAAAACAAAACAGAATATTATTAGAACTATCTTCATCATTCTCCAAGATTGAACTTTCTTCTTACAAAGCTAGTATTTGTCTTCTCAGAACTCACCTTCAAGTGTCTCCAAACAGGATGTGAATAAAAATGGTTAACCCCCCAAACTTGCCTATCCACATGTCCAACAGCGTTACATGCAGGGCCAATGTGTCCTCTCATCCCACATATGACCTAATAAAAGGCAGTAAGAATAAAGAATAAGAGAATGAAAGCTTTAAGTAACAATTTCTACATTAGAGAGAGATAGCGAACATACGGTGTATCTCTTTGGTTCGTCACCGATAACATGATCTACAAAACTCCAATCTGGAACGTAGAGAGTGAAAGTTGTGATCATGTAAATGAGAAATGCCATAAAGCCTCCAAACCTAAGCCACACATGTATAAATATATACTATTAGTTAAAGCAAGTTGACAATTTCCACTAACCAATATAAGTTGAATTGCAAATTATTTCCTTCAATTGCTATCCTCTTGCAAAAAGTATATTTCAAGTTTGAAACTAAATGTGTGTTGTTTTATCTCATGCAAGAAAAGTAGAAGAAAGTTCGTATCTTAATATGACTTCAACATAATGAATGAATGTGTACAAACAAGAGTGCATATATACAAGAAAATGGAGTAACTCATTATGTTTGGATTAACTAACTAATCCACCAAACAAGAAAATGTGGCTTTATCGATGGGATATTACAGATGCCTGAGGCTAACAAAACCAATACTTTTCAGCAAGAGATTCTGAGTCACAGAGGAATCATCAGAAAAACTGACACTGCGTTGTTTTATTCGGGTAAAATCGGGGACAAATACTAAATTGAGAGTGAAATTAGGCAATTATAGGACATGTTTCAAAACTTTTTTCTTTCTTTCTTAGTTCTGAGTGTACCAACTAGGAAAATATAGTACATGTTTCACACAACAAGGGATTTGAATGCCCTCAAGTCATTATTACACAAACTGTTAGTATATCCAAAATCAGTGAGCCAAGGGGATAGTCACACAACAAAGCACTCACCCCAATGATCCCGATCTTAAGTAGAATTGTGCTTTGTAGCCAAAATGTAAAACCAATAATTTTGTGCGTTCTTGGCCAATTCCAGCCACGATAGGCTGTTTCCAGCCACCACCATTATAAGCCGAGAAGGATGACAAGATACCGAGGCGCAATAATTACAGTTTAGCAGAGACTATTTTCCCACGAATACACTTGCCTACCAAAATATCATGTAAACAACTTCAAAAATATAGTACTGTTTTCCATTTTAGTAAGATTTACGACTTTTGTTACGGTCTTACTATCCCCTCCCAATCTTATGCAAGATTCCAATCTTGACAACCTTGTTTTTCCTACAAAAATTGCACTATTAAGTGCTTCAATTGCTCTCTACTTTTCCAAATGATTTCTTTTTAGCATCAATAAGGTTAACCTAAGCACTGGGATTTCTACAAATTTTGAAACCCTAACAATTTCCCTCGTCCAGGAATGATAGGTGCATAGCATTACCAGAGTATCAAAAGCAAAACCCTAATTAATTTAGCAAAAACATATAACTTATTTTACAAAATAAAAAACTTAGCATAGTTGTAAGTGTAAAAAAACTTACCATTGCCATTTATAGGCAGTGAAAATGGCTATGCGTCCAGAAGTCAAGGTAGAGGGTCTAAGCTTAGTGGTAAATGTCTCTATTAGAGCCACAACACAATATACAAGACCTATTCTCTGCACACTCACACATAGATTCAAAATTGTATTGAAATATGACTATTTTCCATTAATCCCCGCATAATTATGTATACCTGAAGAATGCCACACCATCTAATGAATTTCATGTTCACTCCATATGACAGGTCATCAGGGGCATGAGAATATCCACCTGAACTCAAATACTATATCATTAATTTTTTGTTAATAATTAATTTAAAATAGTGAGTTTGAGAAGTTTTGTTTACCTTGCAAAAGTATACCCCAAAACAGAAGCTTCAATGTCCTAAGCATTATCTTCTTCACAGCATATTTTATCTTCTCTATTCTCTGTATTATAACAAAATTAAATTTAATTACACCGAATCTCACATAAATAACATCATTAAAAAAACATCATATTGATGCTAAAGATGATTGTGATTTGTGACAGTGCACACATAAATAATCAAGGCAAAAAAAAATTGGAAAAAAGTTACCTTTAGTGCAAGGGCTATGGCAACACCAACAATAAAAAGAAAGAAAGGCATAACAAAATCAGCCAAAGTACATCCATTCCAAGGCGCATGATCAATGCTTGGATAAACTCCACCAGCTTTGTCTACCAATATCATTATCTAGCCCAAACAAAAACATACATTCCTTAATTATTTCAAAGAAACAAAGATTTCAGACAATGGTTACATTACAGTAACTAACCACTATGGTAAGGCCCCTAAATGCATCAAGTGTTGCAATCCTTTGTGTCTTTTTCTTAACCATTCTGTCTGTCTCATGCTGATCAATCTTAGAATCTTCATTAATATTGCTTCTTTCTTCCTTCTTCAACACATGATCATCATCTTTACCATCAATATCCAGTGCTAAATTGAGTCCTTCATCCATGACTAAAATAGTTAGTGATCAATTATATTCAACAAATTGTTCCTCTTGTTTTTCTATTGGTTGGTTGGTATATGAGAGTGAGAGTTGTAAATGAATTAAAGAGAAAGCCGGTTGTGAAGTCAATATTTAGCATAGCATAGCAGCTACATTACAAATATAAGAGACATATTAAGGACTTTTAGTGGTGATTACTTCCGCCTAATTAGCTGTTTCTTGTTGCTCAATATCATTAATGTTCTAAACTAAGTTGAGGATGTCAAATTGTTTTGTCTGTCTTTGACACCAATTAAACATTCTCCTTTGATTATATCTTATGACTTGATAAAAAAAACTATACACTTCTATGACACAATCAAGATAACACTTAATTAATGTAGATGCTTTTTAAATATTTTTTATCATTTTTTTAATGGTTACAATTTTATTCTTAAAAAGATGACACATTTTTAGTGAATTTTTTTTTTTGTTGGTTATTATTCATTTATCTCATATTTTAATGACATGGCACGTCAATGTGATATCTGTCATTTGCCACATCATTAAATGAATATAATTATTCATTTTTAATTTATGTTTTTATATTATATTTTTTCAAAAATATATTTTATAAATTAAAAGAATAAAATAACATTATTTCACTTTAACATCCATCTCCATTCATTCCATTGTTTTCGTTCATCTTCCCCAGATAGAAACTCTAAAATTGTTAAAAATATATTTCTAAAAAACATAATTGTTAAAAGTATGTTATTTTATTTATTTAAATTAAATAATATATTTCTGAAAAAATATAAAATAAAAATACATATTAAAAATGAATAATCATATTCATTTAATGATGTGGCAAGTGACTGGTATCATATTAGAGTGTCGTGTCATTAAAATATGAGACAAATGACCAACGAAAATTCATCAAAAATGATATTGAGGGACCTAATACCTGATTTTTTTTAAAAGATGACTAAAATGTTAGAAAAATTATTATAGGAGACTAAAAGTACATTTAAGCTTAAAAACTATTTCTAATATTTATTAAAAAAATAAACATAATTGTAAAGAAAATGGATGATGCACTCCCATGACCATGTTATGTTATTAAAAACTATTTCTAATATTTATGAAAAAATAAATAAATAATTGCAAAGAAAATGGGTGATGCACTCCCATGACCATATTATGTTATTAAAAACTATTTCTAATATTTATAAAAAAATAAACAAATAAATAATTGTAAAGAAAATAAGTGATGAACTAATGGTATAAATTAAATTTATACTGTCAACTTATTAGGACATATTATATTTTTATTTTAAAAAATTTTAGTGACGTGACAGACTATTAATTTACTATTGAATGCAGTTTAAAAGTATTTTATATTGTCGGTGCATATCCATTAAACCCATAATTGCAACAAAAAAAATTATTCTATCAAGAAATTAAATAATTTAATATAATTTTTAGTTATATTAATTTACTATATTATTATTTTTATATTATTATATTAGATTATATTTTAAAAAATTTTATTTTATTTTCAATATGTCACATGACAAAATAATCTGATGTGGCACTACAATAACATTGCCATGTCATTGTCAAGTAATCAAATTTGAAGGGGGACTAAAAATAATGAATGTAGGATCAAAAAAACTGGATTTTTTTAAAAGGACTAAAAGATTAAAAATATCAAAATAAAGGGATCAAAAGTGCATTTAAGTTAAATAGTTACTGAGGTTCTTCTATGTGTTGTGCATCTAAATTTATTTTAAAAGTCTAAATGATGACAATTGAACAAGTAAGAATAAATCACAAGTATCATCGATTAAAAAGCAGACACAAAAAAGTGTTCAAATTCTAATTAGAAGAGTTAAACAAAGTTAAATCAAGTAATCAAAACAAACTAAAGTTGTGAAAGCTCGTTTGATCCTGCGCTTAGTGTTTTATCTTGTATTTTGACCGGTCGTAATTTAAGTAAGATTAGGTCTTGAAGAACTAAGGTGATGCACACACGTGCCAAAAATATTTCAAACTCTTCATCTTTTTCTTAAAACTTCTTATAACTATTCTGAGAAAGAAAAACAAATTGTTCAATAGCTTAAGGTGCGAGTGATGTTCCATGTTGCAGATTAGGGTTTCCTTTTCTAGCTTAACCTAATCTATTAGTTTATTTATCTAATCGATTAGGAAGGGACTAGACTCATGGATTGTTGCCTTTTTTAGAGAAATTATTCCATACTAGAACTAGAGTTTATCAAAAAGTATGAATTCAGACTTTGTTGTGGTGGTTCAGAGCTTCCGATGCGATGGAGAGGGGGATGGCCTGCAAGGTTAATACTCTAACACTCAAATTAGTATATGATTGAAAAGGCGTTATTTGAATGATAATAGATTTGAATCCTAATGAAGTAGCACACTTTCCTATTTAAGTAGGAGAAAAGGTTGGTAACTACACATGTGTGAAATGGCGTAGGATACAATTACTTGTTGGATTGATCTGGATGGTTAGCATGACATTTATGTGAAGATAAATGGTCTACATGTTCCGCATTCGACATCTCGATGCTTCACCATTAAGCCTTTGTCTTCTAGGCCTTGCGGATGACCCATAATAGTTTCCTCTCAAGCGACTTAGTGGATCCAGACATATCAGGGATTATTTCTGCTTTTGTTCAAGAGAATGTTTTTTACCAAGATTTGATTGATGTGGGCCCCGTAACTCACTGAGGAGTGTTTCCTATAGACAAAGATAAGAGGATATACAGTTGATACGATGGGTGTTATATCCCTTTTCATGAATGCATATTCTCTCTTATATGTTATCACGTTGATAATAATCATCAGTACATGATTTTTACGAGGAAATTTCGATAAAATTTAAAGATTAATGAGCAAAAGTCGTGTCAAAGTGTGAAGAATTTAGCAAAATGGATTTAGTGAAAATATTGAACAAAAGACTTAGTGAAAATACGACAAGATTATTGAGCAAAAGCCATGTCAAGGAACAAATAAAGACTTAGTAAAAATATTGAAGAAAAAGTGAAGAAAACAAAGCTTTAGCTAATGGATTTCTCACGCGCACGATGTTTCTCAACGTGGCGCAATGAAGTTTTCCATCACGGAGCGATACTGCACTTTTGGTGACACGCATAGTTGCTATTTAAAGGCATTTTTGCTAACTTTTTGAGAAGTTCTAAAACTAAGAGATAAAGTAACAGGTAGGAATGTTCAAAAGGTGAATTTTGAGAGTATTTGAGTCATTGGAGAGTCGTTCTTCCATAGATTTTGATGATAAAAACTTACCAACTCATGGTATTTGTTAATCTATCAATGAGTAGCAAAGTTTCTCTATATTAGGTCTTTTTGAGATGAACCTTGTTATTATTCTATTGGATCATATTGTTGAAATATTAAATTAGATTAGATTAGATTTGATTAAATTTAATATTTAATATAATCCAAGTTGTGTTAGCCCAAGCCCAATTAGGGTTGTATATAAATAGTCATAGTGTGTATCATTATTTGTACACTTGAATAATACAAATCCTTATTTCCTTTATTATTCTCTCTTTCTCTCCTCACTAAAAGTGCCTCACGCACTAACAAATTGGTATCCAGAGCTTTCGATTATTGTTCTTAATCAAGTTTTCAAGAATTTCACGTCAGAGATCGTTTTTCTAGGGCAAGTAAATCAACCGCTACGAAGATGGCAAGTGATAAGGGCATTCCAAATTCTCTTCCAATGCTTGACGGTAAAAATTGGATCCGATGGAAAAAATAGATGCAATCCTTATTTGGCTTCCATGAAACCCTAGAAGTGGTTATCGACGGTGTTTCGGCATTGGCTACAAATGCAACCGAGAACAGAAAAAAGCCCACAACGAAGTCAAGAAAAAAGATTGCAAGGCTGCTTATTGCATTCAAACGGCTGTCGATGCTGCTAACTTCGACATAATCTCTCATGCTGAAACATCGAAGGAGGCATGGGATATTCTGGTAAAGTATTTCGAAGGAGGTGAGAAAGTCAAGGTTGTCAAATTACAAACCTTGCATCGACAATATGAGTTGTTGTCGATGGGAGAAGATGAAAAAGTTGTAGAATATGTGTCGAAGGTTCAGAAACTCGTCCATCTCATGAAGGCTTGTGGTGAAACTATTACTGATAAGATGATAGTTGAGAAGGTAATGAGAACGTTGACCTCTCACTATGATCATGTTATTATAGCTATTCAAGAATCCAACAATCTTGAAACCACTAAAGTTAAAGATTTGGTTGGTTCGTTGAAGGCACATGAGATGAGGATTGTTGAAAGGAAAGGAGTTCAGGACTCAATACAGGAACTACAAGCTCAATCATAGAAAAAAGATGGTGGTTCCAACAAATTCAAAGGCAAGTTCGACAAGACTCATGGAAAGAAGTCTTGGTTGAATTCCCATAAGAATAAGGTCGAAGATAGATCTTCTGAATCCTCGAAAAGGGGAGGAGGAAACTATCGAAAGGACAAAGAAGATAAGAAAGGTATGCAGTTGTTGCACCCCAAAATTTGCCCTCCTAATTTCTTATATCTGGTTTAGACTATCGCATTCATCTGTATATATTCCATTAGGTCATTAACATACATTTGCATTCAATAAAGCGCTTGAGGTTCGAAGTTCAGTGGTTGTGCGATATTAGGGCTTCGCAGCAGTTAAGGTGTTCACATCCGATAAAGTCTGATTCTTCTGATTATCCTTCAAGTAGTGAAATGTGGAATTAAGGTTGCAACCTATGCTTATTGAGGGTTATGTTTTCTTCAAGTTAAGGGGGTTATTACTCATTCAGATACGTTCAAGACAAGAGTCTGAATGTTTCTCCACCAAGTTTGTGCTTGTCAACATTTCATCAACCGAAGTTCATTACGTTTTCTAAGTCATGGCCACCTTGGTCATATTTATTTTTGTATCCCCATGTTCATTTCCAAGTTATTATACAAGGTCATCTAAGAGCTACTAAATCAGGCATC